GCAGACGGCTAGAGTGCGCCTAACCGAGAGGCATGGCTTGTACACTTGCCACAATCGATCGGCTTTTATTTACGGTTCTATTTGAATCCAAATTTTTTGAAGTATAAACTTACTTGATTTGCTGCTTGCAAGCTTCGCAGACAGGAATACGGCTTCCGGGTTGGCTCGACATTACCTGAAATGTGTACGATCCTATTTTGAATTTTTTTATTTCTTAATTTTTGGACCCTATTACAAACCTGTTTAATTACTGGTTGGTGTCCTCCGACAAGGGTGCCTCCGCTGGTAACAGTACGATGCTGTTCGAAAGTTGAACGATTGAAGGATTGACCTAAGACAGATGTTTATTCTCACACCTTTTTGAGATGGAAAATTGCGATAATTTTGACGCAAATACGCTTTAAGACCTTCTCGTTCGATATGACTGAGTTGATCGGCAATGAAATCACCAGGACCCCGATAGCGTATAGGGATTGCTTCAAGCTCTTCAAGCACTTCGGACAGACTGGAACAGCACGGAACACAATTGGGACAAAGCACAGACAAACACATGAAGCAACGAAAGAACATTCAGGCCGTAGCACCCAAGGGCTGCCATGGCTCCGATTTATGCTGGGTGAAAAAATTGACGTGGGCTTCAAAAAAAAAATAGGAAAAAAGGATGCACATGAAATGCAGGCAGCAGACCTTGAATGCTAAAAAAGCAAGCAAAGCACATAAACTCAGACAACCCGGAACTTCCGCCGGACAAAAAAATTATTTGTTGCAGTTCTGCAAGGTTTTCCTCGAAAAGCTCAAGCGTCGAAAATGGGAATTTTCGCAGGAACTTAACATCAAACTGAGACGGGAACTTCCGCAGCACTTTCCACAAAGGCCTGCAGAAGTTTCCATTACTAATTGTCCGGCGGAAATTCCGGCCGGTCTGAGCCAAAATGACACTCACACATAAAACATAGAACAAGCACCTACCTATCAACTTTTACATCTGTCGTAGACCTTACTTCACTTGGCTGGATTGGTATCTCTTCCTTAGGAGGCTCTA